CTCCCTTTACCTGAGTAACGGGTATCTGATAGTCGGGGCACCCGACTATAGCGTTCGCTCTTGTTTTCATTGTGTACTACGCAGTAAGTTGCCTTACTTTCAACTGGCGAAGGCTTTTGCCTAATTGATTTACAACACTTTCCAACCTTACTCAATGCTGGAGTGACAAATGCAGGGCTTTGGAAATGGCTTTGGCACTGGCTTCTCTTATTATTATTATTACTATTATCTTTATCTACCGACTTGCGGGAGATATTCTTAGAGGCTAACAACACAATGGAGGCGGAATGGGTTGGAAAATGGGGTTGCCAAGGGGTTGGGAATGGAAATGGGGTTGGGGGATGGGGGATAGGGACTTGCTCAATGCTCGATTGCGCGACAATCGCAATGGGACCATATATATGTGTTTCGCAGCTTATCATTCCCTGCATATACGAACCATATATATTATTGAGTGTGTGTATGCCGACTCCCTGGGGTCGCATTGGAGCGTGAGCATTTTGCAAAAATAATTTATGGCAAGCTGTTGATTGCTGACATGGGGCCCCCAGAGCAGCAAAAAAAAACAAAAAAAAAAGAAAAACACACCAACTAAAACAAGACAATAACAGAATTATTAACAGATGTACTAAAGCAAGAAGATAGTAATATGTACAATGAAGCGAAAACATTGACTCCAAAGCAAAACAGTTCTATTTTTAAGGGAAATAAGAGCAACTTGAAGAGCAATAACAACAGCAATGCTATAAAGCTACAAAGTAACGTCAACAGCAACATCAGTAGCAACTCCATCAGATACAAGAGCAACATAAGGAACAACAGCAACATCAATGGGCACAAGACAACAGCCACAGCTTTATAGACCAGTAAAAAATAAAAAACAGTATAAACAAACTAACAACAGCAACAAATAAAACCACACCAGCAATGTCTGTAAATAACAGTTTGGCCAACACAACAGCCACAATAGTTGCTACAATAACAGCAGCAACATTGAAGCTTAAGTCGTAGTCCTCTTTTGGCAGTAGCAAAGGCACTGAAAAAAAAGTCTGTCATAGCTAGTTATGACAATATTAAAATTAAGTTAATCATAAAAATAAATAAATCATTTTTATCTATATCAAGGGAAAATACCAATTTTTTCTTAGCGTTTACTAATTAAAATTTAAAAACAAGAAAGCAAACTTAGGTCATTTTTTGAAAATTTGAAAATCAAATAAATAAAAATACAGATTTGTATTACTTTTCTGCAAAGCCATTTTTCGAATATTTGAAAAGGGAGTACATCATAAAAATGACAAAATCGACCCAAAAATACTAATCAAGTTGAAAACACAGATTTTTAGAGAATATAACCACAATCATTAAGAAGTATGCCACTTTGAAACCGGCTGTCTGTTAAAAAAGTTACGGGCTTAGAAGTGCAGGTTTTAGGTGACTTTTCAGCAAATCCATTTTTCGAAAATTTGAAAAGGGGTAACTCATTAAAATGACGAAAAATCGACCCCAAAATACAAAACAAACTAAAAACACAGTTTTTTAGAGAATTAAACCACAATCATTTTGAGGTATGGCATTTTGAAATCGGATTTCTGTGGGAAAAGTTATGGGCATCAATGTGCAGTTTTTGGACACTTTTCGGCAGGGCCATTTTTCGAAAATTTGGAATGGAAATCGACCAAAAATTACAAACCAAGTTGAAAATACAGTTTTTTTAGAGAATTAAGCCACGATCATTTAGAAGTATGCCACTTTGAAATCGGACGTCTGTAAGAAAAGTTATGGGCTTAGGAGTGCAGGATTTAGGTGACTTTTCTGCAATGCCATTTTTCATTGAAATTAACGAAAAATCGACCCAAAAATAAAAACTAATGTGAAAACACAGATTTTTGGAAAATTAAGCCACAATCATTTAGAAGTATGCCTCTTGGAAATTAGATTTCTGTAAGAAAAGTTATGAGCCTAGAACTGCAGTTTTCTGGCACTTTTCTGCAAAACCATTATGAGAAATAAATAAAGTTTTGTTGTTTTAAAGATTGCCACGAATTATAATACATCTAAAATTTTTGTATGAGCTAAAATAAATGTTGTTTGATAAAATAGTATTAAAGAAAAATATCAGACACTGAAAATTAAATTGTTTCCACTCAGTTTCGTTAAATATTTAAAATGTCCCATTCCATTTATTTAACTGTCTAGAACCTTTTGATTATATTCCGTTGCAATAAATTTAACTTTTTAATTTATAAATGGTTTCATAATTTTTTTAATGTAAGAGACTTAAAATTAGTTTATTTGCCAATGTATTTTAGTTTAGAAAGCAGGGTAATTCAATTAGACTGTTGTTTTTGTTAGTGTAACAATCAGTTCCATTTATAGTTTAGTTCGCGACTAGAATTTATCATTAGTTTACTTGGTGTGTACATACATATATACAAATTATGTTTGTATATGAGATTATATACTATATAGATTAACAATTGTAATCGCTGTTGTTGTAGCTGCTGTTGATTTTGCCAAGCGAAACGAAACGCAACGAGCAAAACAAAAAGCTAGCAGAAACGGCAACGACAACCGACAACTCGGGTGTTGATGTGTTTTCGAAAACATTGCGTCATTTCCAGATGGCAAGCTTTAAACCAATTCGCCCCCTTGCCGCACTGAAATGCCCCCCCTCGCACAACGCCCCTGTGCAGTAAAAATACAGAGACCAAGTGGCAGACGATCGAGTTGGATTCGTAGAAAAACTGAACAATTTCTGAGAACTGAACTTGGGGATGTCGACGCCTATATCGGAAGGCAATTATCAGTGTGGATACTGACACGTATATATGTACATATATATACGATTGTGTATGGGGGGTATGTGTGGCTGAACATGATTAATATTTGCTTACAATGATTTCTGGTTGTCGCATTTGTGATAAAACGACAAACACAATTCGAAATACCAATTATGTCGCGAAGGAAGGTCTGCAAAATATTGGTTTATTTTTTGGATTCTCAATTCGTTTCGCTTTAAAATCATTTTTCAAAATGATTATAATTATTAAGTTAGTTGCAGTTTGAGACTGTTTGGAAAGTTATTTTAAAAAGTATGGTCACAAACGTTGAAAACATTTTTTTTAAGAAAATTTTTTTTTTTAATTTTTTTCCAATTATTAAAATACCAAATCAAAAAATATAAGGTTTAAAATTTTTATATTATCTAGTAAAGACCATATATTCAATCCCAAAAATGTTTTGTATAGGTTTTTTCTTCTTCCATAAAAATGAGATTGTGGCAACCTCTTTAAGAGTTCAATTACATAGTACGCGTATTATGCTCTACAATATCTATGCCACATCCGCAAGAAGAACCTTTGGAATGAGCTATAATTGGATGAGCTGTGGATGAACGTAATCTGCATTTCCAGACAGTTGGGCGACTTCTTAAAGCTGCAGCAGAATGTTTTGGTTCGCTGGGGAAGATTATTTACCAGGAATAGCAATTGCTTTGGGGGAGGGCAAAGTAAAAGATGATTAGCAACGACCTTAAATAACCTACTGATTCTATAGACGCCTTGCAATGGTATCGCAATGGTATCGCCTTTAAACTATTTACTTTCGAAACTGATTGGTGGACAAATATTTATCTTGTGTTCGAGTCTTTCTTTGATCAGCTAAAAGCAGTAGTTGGTTGATTTTCTTTAAAGACGGCAACCTACGTCAATGTGGGATCAATGGGATTAAGCACTGCCATTATATTGCTCCATTTATCACTTTTAACACTATATAGTTCAAACAGACTGTTTGAGTTAAAAAGGAACTAATTTATCACTTATCGCAGTTCAATGGGAAAATGAATACAACACAAACACAATGGAAAGTCTGAAGCTTTTCTCGAATATCACAAAGTATATTTGTTAATCACAAATAAATATGAATAAAATACAAATATACAATAAATAATACTAACACTATTAGTCATTTAACTTTGTATTCAGATTACCATAGTCACCGTCACCTCTATTTATATATCAAATTTTAGCAGGATTTAAATGTTGTTAATTATGAATTAATAACTATTTGCTTAATAGATGTGAAATTACGCATTAAGTTGATTATTCAATTTGCGTCATCAATACCTTTAGCCAATTGCATTAATGATTAAAATCCAACCTTAAAAAGCCCAATGAAAAGTTGCTTCCTTGGCTAAACTAAACAAACAAGCAAGACGATCGAAAGATCGGAAGTGTATTCCATCAAAAACTATCATTAAATTGAAGTACAAGTAATTCAAACAAACCAATTGGAAATTATCATTTATTCAAGGCTATAAAACGCCGTATAAACAAAATGCCCTAAAAAAGTATAATTTTCTTAGGGCGATCCATAAAAGATAAATTAATTATTATCTTTTTTTGTATATTTTAGAATTGTTTATTTAGCAATTAATGTTTGCTTTGTTGCCCCTCCTTCGAATTGCCTAGTTCTTTGATACAGTTGAGAGCGTTTGTGATTTATGGACGAGACCCTCGGCGAGTATGTGAGTGTAAATGTGAACACGAGTATGAATATGAATAATCACATCGAAGGCGAACAACAAGCTTCATTGTTCTGGGCGGTAGTTGCTCAATAGACCCGACAATCGGAATTATTAGTCAATACCGGCTACACAATCGAAACCCTTTTACATGGCTTACATATAAAGGACTGGAGTCGATATAACGATAGTGCGCAATAAGTTGGATCATTAGAAGTAACCCTTTACTTTGATTTTATTGGCTTATTACCAAAAAGACAATCTGAATGACCGATAATGCATCAAACTCATTATCGTTTTTAATCCTTAACATTTTTATAGCTTAATAATACAACAGTTTATGTGTAATATTTCAGCTGCTTTCTGAAAGCAGATCAAAACCGAAATAAAAAAGGTTCAATCTTATCTGTAAATAAAAATCATTTTCAATAGAACTTCAACACATTTCCATTAAGGGTAATAAAAGTCATTTGTGTCATTTTCAAAATGAAATTCAACATTTCTGCATTTTTATTTGGAGCACTTCGCTCGATTCAAATTAGTTATGCATAACAAAAATTAAGATTTGCACATTTCATGTTTCATTATTCTCTCTTCTCTTATTTTTTTAGACTATTTACAGAGTTAAGTTTATACATATGGATTTGCATATGTGATAAAAAGTTAATTAAATTTACATGTTGTTACGGCTTCATTTATTTGCTTTACATGTCGATTTTTTGCAATCATTTCGCGTTTGTTTGCTGTTTCGCGTTTATGCATAAGATAACAAGGCTTAATGGACTAAAAAAATAAAGGCACCTGAGTTCAAAGTGTTATTGCCAAATGTAAATATAATAAAACAAAAATCAAAAATATAACGCTGGTGAAATCAAAAAACGATAATCATAAATTTTTTTTTTTGTGTTTATAAACGTAAAATATACATATACGTATGTGTATATGGGTGTGTGTGCATAAAAGTACACAGTTAACGTAAAGCATTTATAATTAATTCAATTTAGTTAATGGTATGTTTGTTTCACCCCCTAACTTCTTCAACTGCACTCCTTTGACTGACTGACTTCGGATATACTCACTGATATCGTTTATGTGTTTATAAATGTATATAGATAAAGTACTTATATGGTCTTTGTCCCTGAATGAAATGCTAATGTCCCCCGCTAAACCCGTGTTTATACAAAAAAAAACCCCCGGTTTTTAGAATTGTTGGCTCTGGTATTTGACCCATTGTTGCTTTGCTGACTAGTGCGTTGTCTCTCCCCCGTAGTTTCTCTATATATTGGTTTTGGCGGACTATAATCTACTAACGAATCCTGATCCTGGTATTTTCTAGTTCTATTGCATATTATACAGCTGCGGTGGCTCCCTGCTGGCCGGCATCCCTTGATCGTATTTACCCAGTTCGGCTTCATAGAGTAGATTGTTGATCAGGTGCTTCACCACAATCTTCGATTTGGATGTCTTCAGTTTGCGTATGGTTACGGCCACATATTCACCGAATACCCCATATTCGTCCACATGATTGGCACTCAGTCCACCGCCCCCGATGAGCAGTTTGGGGGGCGTGGCACCGGTGTTGCTGCTGGAACTGCAATTGCTCGATGTTGCTGCTGGGTCCAGTGAGGTGTTGCTGGTGTTGTGGTTGCTGCTGTTATTGCAGTTACTGTTGCCGTTGTTGCCATTTGACGTTGAGAGATCACGATCACGATCACGTTTTTGTGCCATGTTACTGGAATGTTGTTGCTGTTGCAGATGCAACGATTGTTGCTGCTGCTGGTGCTGCTGCTGCGGTTGCCCGTTGCAGTGGCTCAAGCTGAGACTATGATTGTGGTTGAAGTGCTGCTGGAGCGCCTGAAACGCGAGCTGGCTGTGGTTCATCTGCTGCTGCTGCTGCTGCTGCTGGCCGGCGGATCCGACCGCCCCCGCCCCCGCTCCGCCCACCGCCTTGATGGGCGTCAATGTCAAAGCGCCCATAACGTGATCCACGCCCATCGCCTTGCGCTTGCGGTGGTTGTACGTTAGATCCGTCGGCTTGTAGTAATTTATGGGCGATGGCGTGCTCGTCCGTCGATCCAGTATCCCCAGCTCCGATTCGTGTTCGATCTGTTGGGGTTAAGCATAAAAAAGAAAACGGGGGAAATACGGATGTGTTTTAGACGGTGTTGAAAAGCATCCAAGCAGGCACTCATTTCGAAGCCAATAAATTTATTACCCTACCAAAAACAAACAAAATAAAAAGGAACCCAACAATGTTTCAAATTAATAAAAATAAATACATAAAATCAAAAAAAAAATGTTTGCATGTTTCGAAATAGGTTCTGGTACTCTTTAAAATGTTAAAGTTTTGCATATTTTTGCATTGGTTGTATTAAAAAACAACTAAACCATAAAGTCAAGCTGTCAAATAGAGAAATAAAGTTTAATAGACTTAACTTAAATAAGTTAAATAATTGAGTTCTAACCCTCATTGTTTTTGTAAAAATAAAGCAAATAATTTAAAGAAGAATAAGTAAAAATAGATTCTTATAAGGCATTTCGACCATGTTTTGTTATTTTTCTCTGTGTTAAATTTTATTTTCCAGCGCTTTTGATTGTGAAAATAAAATGTATCAAATTAAGTCACCTTTTTGATACCAATAGTTTAGCTTTAGGAATTTACGTTTTCGTAAGCAAAATAAATATAAAATTCCCCCAGTGATTTAAGACAAGGTTGCGAAGGATGAGCCTTTTCCCTTGCAAAAGTAAATCTGTGCAGTATTTCATCAGCCCTATTTTTTATTTTGCTTGAAGATGGGCCCGTCAAAATATACCGGAACCAGTTTTACGTATACATTTATAGTATGAACGTCTGACGAAATAATCGGTGAGTTGTTTCATCAACTATTTGCTAGTCGCGCATCGCTTTGTATATTAATAATATAAACAATCCAATACTTGGGCTTGCCAAGTGTCCGAAGGGAGAGAGGTCTGAACGACATGTGGGTACTTTGATAAGCCCCCAGAGACGAGTCATTTAATTAATTTGTGGGCACAACCTTGTCTGGGAAAGTATCAGTAGAGAAAGCTTTCTAGATTAGGCTATTTTTGTGGTCCAAGAATTATAGACGTATAATTCAGAAATGTTATTTTGAAAGGCATTGCCTCCAGCTTATAAAAGTCAAATTTATTTAATCAAAAAACCCAAGTGACTCACACACATACATTGGAATCCTAATGCTTATCATTAAAGATATCCGGATGTATCATATCTGCCTTAGCAACACCAATGACCTTCAGGTCTTAAAAAGTTTCGACGGTCAATGTGCAAGTTGTGGACGTCATAAATTGATAAGATTCGTCATCGAATTAAGTTCGTTACAGAATCTTATACACCTTTGCCTTATCAAAATATATATAATTATCGGCAGGAAATCTAATCATATTACTTGATTTGAGCTTCTAATCAAATCAAATAGAATTGTGGAAGAATCTTAAATAACTGGACAACTATTAAGATCGTTGCGTCTAAAACTGTCTACACGTGGAAATTACTTAACCCACATTTATTTTAAGTATTTTTAAACAAACATTATCAACTTTAAAGTAGCTTTAACAATTTTCATAACTCAACTTATTCTCAAAACCTTGAAAGTATTAAAAAAAAGGTTAATTATAAAAATTTAATAAAAATAATTCAAAGTTAATCTCCTATTTTCCATTATTTATTAAATAAATAATAACTCACCTACCAATTACATTTACTAATATAAGCGGAAATTCAAAATACAAAAATTATCTTTTTAAAATGAATAATATGACTTTTTTGATTAAATTGCTTTATAATTAATATTATGATAATTGACTTTGGTACTCCAGATAATGATTGATATTTCTACTTATTCAAAGTACATTACTCAAAAATGTGTTTCTCAATCCCGTGTCAGAAATTATTCTCTAATTACACCCACAGACCACTTGACATGACACTTCAGGGGTTTGAGATAAAAAAAATGTTAAATTATCCCCCCAAAAAAAAACTTCAACCTGTCGAATCAATTAAAGTGTGATTAACAATCAGCGGTGGGGTACTTACAATTTCTGTTTTCACATCTTCGGCGCTGATATTGCAGTAATTCTCGCCATCCAAATCGGAAGAGGAACGTGTCTGCGAAGATCGAAGAAAAAAATCCAGAATTAGCGGAGACCGTAGAATCAACAACAAATACTATTATGGCAGTGTGGAGAATTCGCCAGACAAATAATAACAAAAAACAACAATATAATAATAATAGTGGATAGACGCAAAAGCGAGAACGCCAGAGAAATAGAAAACAAATTAGAATAATAATAAAAAGCAAACTCAAACAAACACACACAAGTGGATGCAGACTCGCAAGTCGAGTTGCCGCTGGCGATTAAATTAGTCACGGGGGGACAAGGTGGCCGAGGGGTGGGGGCGGTGCAGGTGGAGGTGTCGGTGGCGGTAGGGGCGGGACAGCAGCCAAGTCAACATCGAAGTGGACCAACGGGTGGACAGACTCACAGACGGACGTGAGACGAGTGACCAAAATAAAAGACAGACGATAAATAACACAAAATATGGGAGAATTTTTTGGGGCAACGACAAGGTAATACCCTAAAAAAGACCTTTTAAACATTTTCTCGTTTGGATTTTGACCTACTTTATATTTTAAATAGCTTTCATATAATAATATAAATAACCGTAAAGAAATATAGTTTTTATTGTAACCTATCACTGATCAAATTTTTGCGAACACAAAAATCATATGTACTTTTTCTAGCCAATTCACCACAAAATATAAAACAATATTAATAAATTGTTTGATATTTTATGGTAAATTTGTTTAAAGAATTAATGAAGATTATTTTAAAAAATTAGTATGTTTCATTTATTTATTTCTCAAAAACGAAGGTGCATATAAAAATGCATTGCAAAATTATACTTACATTACACAAAAATTAATTCATTTTGTTGGTCAAGGTTTGCTTATCACTTTTTTTGGGGGTATATAATAAATTGGGTTAGCTGCCATTTAAACATAATATTCCCTGCAGGTATTATTTGACTTTTAATTACAGATTTATATGTTCCCGGGAAGGCGATCGAACTAGCTAGTGGGCATATTTGCAGGCATTTATGCAAAGCTCCGGAGAAAGCTTACTTTCCAGTTAAAGTTTCCCGGTTACTTGGTGGAGCTTCTGGCCAAAAGTCCCGCAGTTTTTTTGGGGGAGAGAATCAAAGCAAATAAACGGACGAGGCGACATGGCAATAACGAAACGCAGTCCAGCAACTTGCTATATTGGAGCTACAGCTACTGCTGCTCGGGGGCGGCAGAGCATCGATGCGGGGCCGAGGGGCGTGGTCGGTGCAAAACGTGGGGCCGCCGATTTCTACGGCTGATGCAACACACATGTGTATGCATTATAGATATAGGTATGTTTGTATGTATGTAGGCATGACCGTGTGTATGGCAGAAGCGGCAGCGCAAATCAAAGCCAGTTGACACACACACTGGCACACTAACACCAATACTGGCTTATCAAGCGCAACGCAAAAGCAGCTACCGCGCACAGTGGTCTAAGTCTATTATGTGTTAGAAGTAACATTTAAAAAATTGTCAACGCATTCAAATATAAATAAACAGCAAATATTTTATTGATATAATTCGCATAACGTATACTTAACAAATGATTTACTAAAAAATCGATCTGCACACAATATGTGTTTAATTATATCAGCAGGAATGTCAAAAAGGAGGAGGAAGAGAAGAGGAACTTCTAGAAAACGCATTGAAAAAAATGTATTTTGGGTTTCGTAATTAAAAAGCAAACACTTTAAAAATATTACTCATACGGTACGTAAGCCCGTAGTATTCATCCACCTTCTCTCACGTAATAATTTTCCAATTTTCCAATTATATAAAATACACATTTTTAAATTTAATTATTTAAACGTCCAAAAAAATTTAATGATATATGTAAATGTATAAGAAAAAATTACTCATACGACACGTTGGCCAATTTGTATTACACATTATCAATTTGATTTACTCCATATACTTTATTAAAAAAATTACTTAAAATAAAATAGGTTTTTAAGCTTTTAAAATAGTGAACAATTTTAAAAGAAAGCAAAATTAAAAAATAAGTATTTTTTATAGCACACTTTTTGGCGCGGTATTGTGCAAAAAGATCATTTTGGATATTTGGCATTAAACAAAATCGTTAAAATATTTTTTGATTTACATAAAAAAATTTTAATTTTTCGCCTTAGTTGTGCTTTAATAATTTAATTTGCTTCCCTTGTTCTGATTGGTGTAAGCACTATTTCCAAAGCTCAAATTCAGTTCCCTATAAATGGTTTTTAAAATCTTCTCTACCTACAAAAACCTAGAAAATTCTATACCAGCTGATGGTGGCGCTAGTCTTCGGCACCACTGTGCGCCACCGGTTGCGCCGCTGCCGTTGACGAACCGCTAGACAGCGAGGGCTGCGACGGCGGCGACAGCAGCGCGTGTGCTGCCTGCTGCCGCAAAACAAGTCAAACCACTCGCACTCACACGCGCGCACATGCAAAGCTCCAAAGAAATACGACAGACAAAAAAAAGCAAAAAGGGGGAAAAAAACAGAGACACATGCAAAATAGGTAGAGGTTGGCTGTAAAAAAACAGCACTTACCACAGCCGCCGAGGAGGATTCGATTAAAGCGCCACCGGCCGCTGCCTCCTCGAGTTCCATTTCCCGAGCGGTATCCATTTCGTCAGCGGTATCCACTTCCCGCTCCCGATCCCGGGCATTTGCCGCAGCCGCAGCGGCAGCAACGGCGGCCACAGTGGCCGCAATCCGAGCGGTAAGCTCATCGTGTTGTTGTTGCTGTTCCACCTGCAGTATTATGTCCCTATCTACCAGCTTCTCCGCCTTCAGTTGCTCCAAATCCAGACTGTGCATCAGGGTTAGCTTTTCATCTGCTTCCGTTTTCGCCTCGGCATCTAGATCTTGATCCTGATCCCTTTCGCCGTCGAGGATGAACCTTATGGCCTCGTAGGCAAACCACATGGGTTGGTAGATCACCCCCCGACTTCGCCCGCTCAGAACCTTGCCATGTTCCCGATGGAAAGAGCTGCGCAGCGACTTGATCTTGGATCGTATAGATCTTATTTCCGTTCCATATTTGTGGCTCAATAGCTTTAAAGCCTCGTATTTGGTCTGCTTGATGTGGTAGCCCTTCGTATTGGGGTCCCAAAGGACTCGCTGTCTGCGATAGTCCTCGATGAAGTTGAGGATCGTGGAGCGGGACCATTCAACGCGATCCGCTGGTGTTGTTGTTGCCGTCCCCGTTGCAGTGGGCGTGGTCGTGGACGTGGGCGAAAGGGGTAGTGGCAGCGGGTGCGAGGCAACATCGGCTATCAAAGCAATGGCATTGGAGTTGGCATCGAGCTTGAATTGCGCTGTGGCTGCGCTGCTGGACATTGTTGTTGTTGTTGGTGTATGGTGAAAGTTTTCCCGGCCGGACGGGGGTTGGGGTGGTTGTTGGCTGTGGCGGGTGGTGAGTGGGTGGTGTAGGTGATAGGAGTAGGAGTGAGAGAGAGAGCGAGAGAACGCAACGCAACGACGCGACGAAAAAAGCGTCCACAACACGTTGCTTTTGACTTTCGACTGGCGGCAGCGGCGGCGGCGAGCGTTGAGCGTTTCAGCTGGTTGTGTTGTATTTGTGGCAGCGGCAACAAGTGCGGCGGCGGCGGCGGCAGCAGCGGCGGCAGCTCAGCTGCACTTTGTGCGAGAGAGAGAGCAGGAGAGTCAGCGGGAGCGGGAGTGAGAGCGCCAGCTGGCGAGCGACGTCGCCTCGTCCAAAATCAACGCAAAGGTGTGCGACTCGCCTTTTGCCTCTCTCTCTCACACACACCCGCTCTTCTCTGTACGTGTGTGCGTGCGTTTGTGGTGTGAGTGCTGCAGCAGGCGGGCTTTTTGTTTTTTTTTCGCGACCTGTTGCTCGCTTGATAATGCCAGGCTTTGTTGTTGTTATTGTTGCTATCAGCTATCAGCTGTTTTATTGCATGCTGTTGTTGTTGCCACTCGACCAACGAACACCAATGTTGGTTGTTGTAAAAATTGGTTGTTGTTGTGGCTGTTGAATACGTTGGTGTTCTTTTTGCTGTGGTTGTTGTTTATTTCGTTGGTGTATTAATTAGTTGATCTATGTTTGATGTGTTTGTTGTTGTTGGTGTAAGTATTGGTCTGGGATAAGCTGGTTCTGCTGTTGAGGTGGCTTTGTTGTTATAATTATTGGTGTTCCAACACGTGCGGTGCTTTTAGCTATTGGGATAAGTGTTGGTGACTTATGGGGCAAGTTATTGGTTTTTTAGTTGGTGTACTTGTTGATTTACTGAAGTAATTGTTGTTTGTGTAATAGTTTCAAATTATATTTAAAAAGTTGTTGCTTCAGAATGTTGTGTTGTTGGTTAATTTGTGGGCGTTCATCATCATCTTTCTTGGCGTTGATGTTGCTCTTGTTGTTGTTGCAGTTGTGGCATCTGCTGATATTGCTGCTACTTTGCGTTTTGGACCAGTGGCTGCTTTAGGTATTGTGGGGTAACTTGTTGTTGCTGTGGCTGCCACTGTTGTTGCTTGTGGCTATTGGTGTTGCTGCCTTTGCTGTTGTTGTTGCTGCGGCTACTCGCTCGAGCTTTTTTTTGTCGCCACTTCGTCGACGCTCGTTCGTCGCTCGTCGTTCGCTGTTGAAATCACGATTTGTACTAATTTCACATATTTAAACTGTGTGTGGCATGCGCGCTGCTCCAAACGGGCCGGTTGCCGTTGTTGTTGTTGCTGCTGCTGCTGCTGTTGGCCGTAAGTTCGTCACTTGCTCTTCGCTCCCCGCCCCCTTGGTCCGCACACCTTTCCGTTCGCTTTGCTCGTGTCGCGACTTGCGATCGTTGCTGCTGCTGCGATTGCCTGCTGCTGCTGTCGTCAACAGCCCCACGTTGCACAGTGGGCCCGATCCGATCGCTGTGCGCATGTGGCAGCGGCTGCCAAACGGCGGCGACCATGAGATGCTGGAAACCAACGAGCACACACACCGACATCACAGCAAAGCCTATTTTTAAATAGCGACACATGGCACAGTGTGGCAAAGGTAGATAAGTTGTTGCAAGATGAAAAGGTGTGGGGAAAATAAAATACTTTTTATGGAAAGGTTCAGCACAAACTAACAGTAGTATACATACACATTTTATACGGCTTAGGTTCGGCTTAAAACCAAATTTAATAACATATTAAAAGAGTTATTCTTTGCAATATATTAATTAAAACGGATTTAACAATTTTCTTTTTCATTTCATGGTTTGAATCTTTCATAATTAAAATGGCACTCTTAATGTATGTTTGTTTTTAGTTTTTTTAAAAACGATGTAATTAAAATCAAATTAAAATATGTGTATGAATATAGGATGGCACTAAACATTCTAAAAAGTTAAACACTATTGAACAATTTTTTTCTTTCTTTTTTCTGTTTATTATATACATATTTATTTATTTTATCTTAAAAAACTTTTGTCCCACTGTGCTTTTGGCCGCTAAAGCTGTAAATATTGTTGCTGCCAAGTCCTCTCCCTCGCCCTCTCTCTCATACTTCTCTCATCAGCACGGCTGAGAAGTTGTTATCGTTGCCACTGTCGTTCTTGCTGTTGTTGTTATTATTGCTGCTGTTGGACAAAGCAAAATAATAATAATAAAAACAACAACAGAAAGCTCCAAAACACGGTAACAAATTTAGCGAGTCAGCAAAATAACAGAAAAAGAATCGAAAAAGGAATTGCATTTCACGGAGAATTTGGACGTTTTCGGATTTGTCTTTCCATATTCTGTTTCATTATACTCTTAAATAGGGGTATTTGGGATAAAGTCATTGACTTATAGTATTTCCAAATTAGTCAGAAAGAAGAAAAACTTTAAGTGATTTTACAATAATTGCAATGATTTCAAAATGTTGGTGTAAAAAATATTTAGTTCTAAATATTTTGACCCAATAAATAATACTTTCTTAAAATAAAAAAGGAATGGATAAATATCTTTTAAAACCGTTCCTTTAAAACCTCTCATGCTTTGTCATTAAGTGACTTTTCATAAGAAATAATGGATAGCATAATTAAAAATCACTTCCCCAAGCCCCAGAAAGATTATTTATTTAATTATTTATTTTTTCATTGTTATAATTGCTTTAAGAAATATATTTTTTGTTTAGATATTTTTGGGCAGGAAGTACTGTATAATTAAATTTCATTTTTATAGGGAAAAAAATAATAATGTAATAATATTGCGTATACGACTTTAAAAAAAACCGTAGCATACATTTGGACTGCTTTACAAGTGATTTTTTTTGTTGTTAAATTTTAAAACTTAACAAGCTATGAACAAAGTCTATAGTCTTTTAGATATTAATAAGATAGAGTGTTCGCTTTTTCGATCTCCGAATTAAACTTTCCTTTCTTGCTGTTAATCGAAAGGTGTGAGCGAGGGGGTATATAGAGTGAGGGAGAGGTATAAAGTGAGCTGTCGCTCACGTAGGCAGCATTTTGGTTTTTGCATTCGCCTGCACTCTCTCTTTCTCCTTCTCCCCCGCATATGGTAGATACATAAGTATGTACTTGAACGTATATACATATGTATGTACTTACACATTGCGTGTCCTAAACCACGTGCGAATCTTTTGTATAATTTCGACGAATTTCGATGTCTCATAAGAACACAGGCATACATTAGTATGTACACACATAATTAGAGCAAGTTAAGCGGACTTTCTTATCAGTTTTGCATTTCGACTTGCACAATCGCTCTCTCTCTCTTTCTCCCACAGCTGTTTTAAATTGCGGAAGCTTTCTCGTCTTTTTCTCCTTTCAGTCCGTCTTAACAGCTCATTATCAAGCTGCGTCGCTGCCGCAGTTAAGTCGCAGTCAGCGTCGCAGTCGCAGCGACGTGTTTGCCGCACCTACGATAACGGTATTAAGCTGACATTTCCATGCACCTCGCCAGAAAACCGGTTTTACGAATCTTTCAATACCCTACACATCGATTAGTTTGTCACTTCTTACAAATAATAATTATTTAATCGTTACTTTCATATTTGCAAATTAATAAGCTTCAATAAGTATTACTATATATATTTAAAGATTTATTGATAATGGAAAGTTTGAAGTTTAAGCAAAGAGTTCCCCAATTGCACTATCATAGCCATTAAAAAACGGTTGTCTATAAGCAGGTGCAATAATTTTCATGTAGTATTAAGTTGTAGAAGCTCGACTTATTTAAGTTAGACTGCGATATTTTTTGAGTTTTTTAATGTTATTTGAACTTAATCTTTAACTTAAAATTTTTGAAAATTATTAACATCCATATTTTTTGTTTTAAAAACCCGTTATGTAGTTAATGTCGAAGTTTTAATGCTTTTATCTGTCTGTATATCACTTTAAATAGTTTAGTTTACAAATGACAAAGATACCCCAGTATTTTGAAGCCTTTTATTAATACTTAAAAAAAGTTTAACAAATTAATGTGATCGTAAGTATGTTTAGTTATACCGTAACGCATGACGTTTTTAGCTGAGGCGATTGCGTCCGGCCCAGAGTTGTGTGATTAATCGCCATTAAAATCCACAAAAATAACGCGGCTTGCAGCGTGACTGCAGCGTGACTGCAGCACATTAGACCCCATCCAAAATTGGCTCGGACTGCGTCAGGGCAAACGACTCGACGTCAGCGATGTGGCGCAAAGCTTTTTGCATTCAATTCTCGCTCCAAGTTGACAAATTGACGTTCAAAGTTGTTTGCGCAGCATTTCAGTTGCAGTTTCGGTTGCGTTGCCTGTTTTTCTTCTTTTCCAGTCCGTCTTTCACCCGCTTTCCATCCGCTCCCGTTCAGGTTCCTTATTACGTTATGACTCTCGACGGTTCGAGTATTCATTCTCCCCATTTCGCTACCTCTAAATGTGATTGTGAGATTGAGTGCGAATGGATGATAACACTGGCGCAGAAAAGTTAGCTTGCAGATTTAACCAACACTATCTGATGATTTAGAACAATCTGTGGACACATAAGAAGTTATACCTTTGGATGCTTTAAAATTTCATAGAAAAGTGAATATTTTCAACAAGTGAAAACTTAATTTCGACCATTCTTATTTTACATTACATTTACATTTGTTAAGAAATAAAATTAAAATCGCTATTGATACCATATTGTCTAGGGGGTACCACGAAGGTAATATCTTTACTTCTAAAAATTCTGTTGGAAATGCTTTTCCATTAATTTAATTTATAGTAATATACTGTGATATTGCTGTTTACAGTGCGATAGATTTTTTTATTTTGCATTATATTTAAAATTAAATCGTTCATTATAATATTTTAAAGCTTATATACTTAGTTTCTTTTCATTTAATTTAAAAACAGGGTCGATAACTTTCTGGCAGCACTGTTTCCGCTGAGAAATATATAAATTGCAATTTCTGTTCCTGCTGCTGCTAGCATTATTGTTGCTGCCAATTCAGTTTGTCAATGCCATCTAAAATGCATTGAGCTGTCACATTAGAGCAGCAACTCGATACGTCAGGCGGTAGCCCCCCGAAACCCCCTCATATTTCCATCCCCTCTTATTTCAACAGCCCCCCCTCCATTAGGGTAGCTCAGCATTTTACTTACAGTCAAACACTTTTTTTATCAATCAACTTTGAAGGTGTTACTGCAGTGGATGTTTGTTGATGTTGCTGCTGCTGCTGTTGCAGTTGTTGCTACTGCAGCAACCGTTTGTCGTTGCGTGCACTTTGGTGGAAATTGCTGTTGACGTTGGCTATATGGAATACTTATAAGTAAAAATACATATTTTTATTCAATTTCCAACATCACGTCGGGACGTCGCCACTCCGCTATTGTCTTTTGTTATTTTTGCAATTGCCCTGGCACCACCACACCACCCCCATTTCCACCCGGTGTTTATCTGACGATGTTTTTGCCCCCCGCTTTTTTTCAATTATGCAGCGCACAATGCTTTTCTTTCCTCGTTCCTTTTCTTTTTCTTTTTCTTTTTCTTTTTCCTTTTCCTTTTCCTTTTTTTTGCAGCACCTCTCCCCCGGGGGCAACTGTTCAACTGTTTAGCCTGTCGGATTAGCCACGCAGCTGTCGCCGCGCTGCAAAAGCATTTCCCCATTCCCTCATGGCAGAGCTGCTCCAACTAGTCGCCTTCTAAATGCAGTGGGTAGTTGGTTCCCCCAGTTAATGCATGTATGACACGGAGTTACTGGTAAAAATATTGGATAGGCCTGCATCACATTAGTCATGCAGGAACAAATAACAAATTTAACTGGGAACATATATGCTATGATTAGGATTTTAAGCAGGCAAATATAAAAAATCAATCAGATTTAGGATATAACGAAGCTCAGACATTCAAAGATTGTAGATTAGAAGAAAATATTTAATAAATCCCGATCTAGAATAAATTTAAATGCAGTGAGGTTAAAAATGAAAAATATATATCTTTCTGCAATTCGTATAAATTCACTACCAATTCGTATAAAATAAAATAAATAAATATATTCCTACTTGAAAAATAATTTTGATTAAATAAACAGTTGAATAACGTTTTTTTTTTTTTATTTAAATTATTGTATTGTTACAACATTCATAATATTCAAGCTCTTAATATAAAGCAAAACAAATTGAAAATTAAAATATTTCAAACTGACTTTTTTTTATAAAAAAATAATTTTTACGAAAACATTTAGTTAAAAATTCAAATTCAAAATCCATATAAAACATAAGCGAAAACAGAACATTGATATGCGCAAATGGTTAATTCAAACATGTTTTCTCTGTGTGTAGTTGCTTGAGTTTAGCCACTGATGCGTATCTGATGGCCAGTCCG